AAAAATATTTTGAAAAAAGTAAATACTTTTCGAGATAATTAGTGTACCCACTTAAAAGAATCACTCTGTATATGTCGTCATCTGCCAGTGTCGCGAATAATTCGATAGGTACTACCCATCACTAGTCGTATCAGGACCGAAAGAAAAGTTTCATAAAAAACCGCCATAAGACCTAAAGATTGATATTTGATTTAACCGAATATTTTTAGTACAGGGGCTGGTACCAATGTACCATAGACATATATAACCTAACCTAACCGCGAACAACACATATCCCATGTTTCGTTACGAAACATAATTTGTGCGAGTGAGAAAGACTAAAGAGGTTTTGCATACACAATTTATTTCTTGTAGCTCAGTAAGTTTAAATAGGTGCATTCACCAATATTAGAGCTGTTTTTTGAATCAAAACATTATAATACAATAATAACTATTAGTACGAYTTTAAAAGCCAAATTGCTTATAACATGAATCTTAATCTTAATATAAAGTTTCAAGTAATTTAGTAAGAYCATTGATCAATGAATTAAAATTTAAAATGATTAAAGTCTAACTTCACCGATTAAAATTTATCAATTAATTTATAGCAGACTAAATTTCTGGGTATGAATTTTTCTAAAAATTACTATTGGTATGGTATTTGCCATTTGGTATTAAACTGATATTTTTATTTTTTATGTAATTGGGAGTATTGGGACTTGTGCTAACTTTTATAGGTTGGCAAGGGCCTTTTTTTTTGTTCTTATCAGGTTCTATGTTATCAGATGTTATCAAAAACGGGAAAACTGTACCCTATAGAGTAAATATATTAGTAATATTACTCTGTGGCTGTACCCGTCCCTTTAGTTCTTAATACTTATTCGGTCGCGATCCCGTCACTCCTCACTCCACTTGACAGATTCGTTCATTTTGATCCATTCAGTTTTCAGTAGCGACCATCGCAACTCTAATTACATTAATATCACAATTATGATTAAACTCTATTCATTAAAGCAACATAAAAAAGACGGTGAAACTCCAAAATCGGGGAATCAAAAGAAAGCATCTGCTGCTCATCTTAGAATAACAAAAGGTAAATGTACATTAATATATTTACCTTCCCTTAAATCAATATGTATTAAACTTTTCAAACAATTAATTTCATTAAATAAAAAGTTGATATTTATTAGATAACCTTATAATTTGCGTTATACGATTAAACTTGTAACACCTGATGTATTCTTACATGAATTAACTAATTAAACATTTTTTTTTTTTTTTTGGAAAATTATATTTTTATTTAATTTCTGCATGAGTGCTAGTGTCTAGAAATTATTATTTTGAAAGTTATTCAAAAATACTTTTTCAAACAATATTTWTCTTTAATAACTCATTATGTTTCAGTGTTATATAAATTATAATGTACAATATTTTATAGTATATTTGTTTTGTATTAGTTAAGATTAGTTTATTAATGATTTTACTAAATTTAATAATAAGTATGAATTAAATCAATCAACACATATTAGGTATATGATACTGATGTTTAAGTAGGTTCCTCATAATTTTTTTTTACATAAATTTAAAAATATAAGTTATTATAGTTTGATGTTTATATTTTGACTAAATTGAATAGCATTATAACGTCCCTAGAACAATTACATTTGTGAAATATTTATTTTCAGTTTAAACTATTTATTTAAACAACCTTCATAATAATAATTATTAATTAATAAACATTAGTATTACAAGAAATGTAAACATATTGACATTCCCCAATAACCATAACTTGTGATAGGGGATATTGAATTATATAGTCTTAGCATTAAATGGTACATTGATATTGATTTATAAAATAAATGCTTTATTTTTGCCTGACCGAATTAAGAAAATGCACACTGTAAGTAACATAAACCATCTAAAGAAATAGAAGGTGATCTCCAATACTCTTAGATTTTAGACATAATTAGTGTTAAGTCAATGACTTATCATCAATTTCAAATTTAACAAATTCATTATTAAATTACAGAAACATTGAATGAGAAGGCAAGCTAAGATACAGCATTTGTTTTTGTTTTTTAATTAATGTAATTTATTTAAAACAACACTATAAACAATACAAAAATATTCTATAACTTTGCCAAACCGTTAATTCCTAACTTATATTTAACTCTTATACTATCCCTATTGATTACTATAGGATATTATATAAGATGTAGTGTAAATAAATGGTATTAGCTAAGAATATTTTTTATTTTTACAGTATTGTAATTATTTATGTATTTGATACAGATTTAAATGAACTTACATTACCGAAAACCTGCACTACTGAATTTCCTGATCCGGATGATTTATTAAATTTTAAATTGACAATCTGCCCAGATGAAGTGGGTAGTTCTATATACCTAATACTTATCWTATAAAATTGGTGATATTTTAACTTAATTATTATTGTTTTTAGGGATCATACAAAGGTGGGAAATTCAATTTTAGTTTTAARGTTGGAGTCAACTATCCGCATGAACCACCTAAAGTAAAATGTGAAACAACAGTTTACCATCCAAATATAGATCTCGATGGGAATGTATGTTTAAACATACTACGTGAAGATTGGAAGCCAGTATTGACGATTAACAGTGTTATTTATGGTTTGCAGTATTTGTTCCTGGTAATAGAAGTTGTTACAACATTATTTCAAACATTGTAAAAATTACTATTCAATCATTTTTAGGAACCTAATCCAGAAGATCCTTTGAATAAAGAAGCTGCAGATGTTTTGCAGAACAACAAAAGATTGTTTGATATGAACGTTCAAAAAGCAATGCGAGGTGGAGTTATTGGCAATACATACTTTGAGAAGTGCTTAAAATAACAAAAATAGATTTGATCCTACTTGGACAATGTCACAATTACGTTTATATGCTACACTAAGGATTGATCTTTTTCGTGCAAACTTTGTATGAAAATAAATAATGTAATACTTATATCATAATATTCATATTTTCTCTTGATTTTTTTTAAGTTGATAAAAATAATTTTAGATTATAGTAATAATTTTACACCAAATATAAGTAACAAATCTGTTATAGGCATAAGTTGGTAATAATATATTAATTTCAACACAATGATATTTAAAATTATGATAACAACATGTTGTTTAATTGATTTAGATAATTTTGTATATAGTTTGAAAATACAATAATAATAATGAATAGTAAAAGCAAATATTATTCGTCCAAATATAATAATCCAGTTACCGGCCGAAAGCAAAAGGTGAGTTATTGCTGTTACTAAAACTAAAAGTTGCCGGGACATCAGCTTGATCAAATTTGAAACCTGAAACAACATCACATTTGAATTAATTTGTGTACACAGCAAATCAACAAATCCTTATAACATGGGCCGGGTTGCATAAATGTCTTGAAGAGATTTACTGAACCCCAATGATAGTATAACTGTTTTTAGTAGTATTATTTTTTGGTTATCACATATTAATAATATAATATTTTGTTATGCAAGACTAGCATAGTTTAACACAGTCATCATTCAACTTAATAGAACATCAGCATTGATTACATCAGCCACTAAAAAAAAAAAAATACTATTTTTTGTGCAACCCACCCTTTACTCTTTATTAATTTATGTAGTAAAAATCAATATACTATAAAGTACAAAAATACTAAATAGTGTACAATTACTATTGAAGATTAATTTAACCTAATTAATTCTAATCATTCAATTTTTGGTAACAAAATTATACTAATGACTTCTTTTGTTGTAACATAAAAAAAGTGGAATCAATAAACATGTATATTAAATAATTTTAAAAATTWAATCTGATATTATTTAATTAATAAGTTATAGATCATATTAAGGAACGCAATTATTAATTTATGTATTTAGGTTAGTTTCAAGGAGCGGCTAGTCATGACTGCTCTATTATGATATAATATTATAGTGGCCAGGTTCTAGAGCAATATTAGTGTGGCTGATCGTAGAGATTGGTTGTTTTGACTAGCCGCGGCTTGAATTCTGTACTTTAATATAACACTTTGATGTATAAGTCATAGTATATTCTTAACTATTATTAATAAAGTAATACCAATTTTAGCTTCCTTACATACTAAACTAAATAAGTTTAAAGTTAAATGTTTTAGAACATTGGCAACTCTGAACTTTTGTCCTACTAAGTTGCAGTATTATGAATATTGTGTATCTGAAACAAATTCCTTTTCTTATTTCAAAATATTTACAACTCCCGCAGTTTAATTTAAAATAGTGTACAGAAATTGCAAATTATAAAAATGGCTTATTGATAACATGTAATAAATGATAAATTAACTACAATACCTGCTAGTTTTTCTTTCTTTTTGTTTTCAACTTCAGCACGACGCTGTTCTGCTACGACCATTAATTCATTAATAGATTTCTGTTGATCACTATTTAAATGGTTAGTGAGTGCTAGGTACCAAGCAGGGTCATTTTGTTGGATACTTAACAACACAGTTTTAAATAATATGTATACATCAATTGATTCATCAGCATTATTATGGTCAGAATCCAATGGTGTTGTATAAACTTCAAGTACAGTCTCTTCAGGTTGATCATAGTCATCGTCATCACTATCACTATCGTCTTCAGTATTTTCAGAATTCTGAACAAATATGAAGAGCAAAAATCTTATAAAAATAATTTTTAACAAACTTAATATTAATATACAACCGTCATAAATAAAGTTTTTCCTTTGTCAGTAACATAAGCTATACTTTCATCAATTTCGTCTTCATCAGTGGCTAGTTCTAAAATAAAAACAAATTAATAACAATCTAACAAAAATAGAAAATTGTTATGTCTTACCATCTTCAGTATCTATATCTTCTTCGTCACTAGTTTCATCTTCTTGCTGATTGTCTCTATCTAAATTTAATATTTTAAAGAATTACMATTTTTAAGGAATCATTTAAGTATGTTCACTACAAATCATAAATTAGGTGTCTTACTGAAAATTAAATAGCATACCAAATATCTAACACAGTGTTTTAACGACAAATACTGTCTTTGGGATATACTAACAGAGTAAAGTGACATAAAAACCACTGTTTAAATCATGGCTCTCTTGAAATATGATTTTACCTACACTTTGGATTTAGTTAAAAAATAAATATTCCTGGTATTCAGTGAGCATTGAATTAATATGTAAAATTGTTTTTACACCTTTTGTTTAAAGGCTTTACTCAATGTTGTCGAAAAAATTATAAGAACTAGTTTCATATAAAKACTTATGTAATTTTGTGAACAACTATACAACTAAGGTTGTGTTAAAAATTTATAAATACAATGCATTAATACACAGGATATTTAATAGCAAAATTATGGCTTTTCTAAAAATGATTTTACATTTATTTATTTTAAATAACCGTCCGGGCTCTATTGCTTACAATAATAATTTTTTTTTTTGGAAGTTTCAAAATCAATGTAGTTTAATTTAATTAAGTATTTTGTAAATTAATAAATAAATAAAACTATAATAATTCTTAATAAGCCCTTTGATGAAGTATGTATCATTTTTTTCAATTACTGGACTCAAAATATCATTGAAATACAAATTCCTTACCTAAACAAAGGATATTTATATTTCAATTTATTTATATTAAGTGTAATCGAATTTGGTTTACTAGAATTTTTCTACCAGAAATTGACTTTGAGATTATCCAAGTTTGACAGTGCTGAGGACGTTATACTCACATGAGTTGTCTCCATTGTACAAGTGTTTATAGCAAATTTTATGCTCAGCATATCACATTTATCTCCATTAGTTAAAAATTTAGAGTGAATTGACCTATAATAAACATTAAAGTTAAGATTATTATCTAGGGCATCTTATGGKTTTTTTTTTTGATATTTTAATTTTAAAGCAAGATAAGTATTTTTAGTTATACAAAAAATTTACAATTTAAAAAAATTCATCTCTCTTAAAAATAAAATATAAAAAACCCACGAAATGCTCTAGATAATAATCTTGCCTATTATTTTTACAATAGGTCAATCCACTCTAAATTTTAAACTAATTGAGATGAACGTWACCTCTTGAKCGTAAAATTTGCTATGCTAAGCGCTTGGAAGACGGAGACAACACATGCCGGTATGGTGTCCTCTTAACAAAAAAACCCATCAATTAAAAATAGAATCATACTCATCCAGTTACTTGATAGTTTGATCATCTTAAATTCAAAAAGTTATGTCATCTCATTTAAAACAAATTATGTTAACACAGCAATGCATGTCTTAAAAGGACACAACACTATCGTGTGTTGTACTCCATCTTAGCATTATTCTATTCTGTGATCTTAGTAATGCATATGACTGTTTTACCAGTGAAAATTTCATTCTTCTTTATTAATAGTAGAATCACCTAAATTTCAAAATGCGCTGGGAAGAACTTAATCTATGCTACAGCGTTATTTATTTTCTTTGTTAAGCACTAACCTAATTATTAAATGAAAATTTTTTTTTATCTTACAACTTTAATTGTATTTATGTTATCAAAAATAATGATTCTGTAATAAAGTATTCTCTATCCGTTGTGGAATTTGGGTAAATATACCTTAAAAACAGATGGAGAAAAGTTGTCTCC